GGGGAATAATCATCTACCATGCATAAAACCAATAATGATATTGTTAAAAGACATAACACTATTAAGGACAGAATATTTAAAAACAAAATCAACATTGAGCAAAGTCATGACATAAATGAGCAAGTTAGTTTGTTGTTTATAAAGTTGAGACAAAATCATTGAGCAAGTTGGTTTTTGTATGGCTTGTAACTAGCATAGGTTATAACCTTTTTGTCAATTTGAAAATTTCATCTGGATTCAGTAGAAACCAGTAGTGTCGATTAATGAATTAGTGAAATGTTTTCATTTGTAATTTAAAGTTTGATTATATAATTTAATTGCTAGAGGTTGAGGTGGCTGTTAGGGGTGATAACGGTTCGATTTTGAACGAATTATGTTAGATTTTTTTGAATATTACATAATATTATGAAAATTTCAAATTTGATTCGAATCTTCATTCAATTTGAACCAAACCGAATTGAATTTTACTAATTTGGTTCGATTTGGTTTATCAATTTTAAATTTTTATATATTATTTTAACATAAAATTTTAATATATTTAAGTAGATTTTGATATAAAATTATTACTTTTATTTTATAAAAATTTAAAAAGTATATAAAACTAAAAAATATATAATTCAGTTTGGTTCATTTTTTTTTTATGTTTCACCTCTCAATTCGAAAATCGATCGAACCAAGCTGAATATTACGGTTTCAAATTGATTTTTAGATTTTTTGACTTTTTTCTCACCTTTAATGGCTGTAAATAAGAATTGTAAGTTTGAAAAAATTCTAGCATTATTAAGTGATATTGTATCAATATGTTTAGTTTTAGTTTTTTTATGTTTGGTCCTGTATATGAGTGTTGTTTGTTGTATGATTTTATTGCATATGAGTGTTGTTTATTGTTGTTTATTCTATACGATGTGAAATCCATTATGCAAAATATAATTCTAGATTGAATGATGACCTGTGTTTGTTGAAATGGTTCCTTGAAGTTGTATTTAATATGTATGTAGGTCACAGTTGTCAATATGATTATCTTTGATAGATGCCTTTGCAATGGTGATCTTATTGAAAGGTTCTGACTTAAAAAGACTGCTCAACTAAATAATTTCATTTTGTTGCTTTTCAAGCTCTTGCATAGGTAATTATTGGTACTTATATATGATACTCTATCTTTAATTCAATTATGACAGTTATCAATAATTCCTATTCCTTTTATCGATTATTTTTTTTTTAAGTTTTTGTGAAGTGGGGAATAGGGGCTAATCTTACCAGTTATTTTGTTTAATTAATCTTTTAGAGTTTGGGTTTTACTACTATTCCTCTGGTTGATGAACAAAATTTGTAATGTAAAATGATAATTCAAGTAGCAAAGTAGTTTTCTTGATATTTATTGTTGCTGTTTTATTGTTGAACATATCCTAGTTGATACAACTAATTGGACCTTAGTTTTGTCAAGGATCAAGTTACTCTTACTTGTTAAGACTGTAAAGACTGACACTAGTGTACTAGAATACTGAGCATTTTTGTTGTTCCAACCCATTTCTTGTCAACAAAACAAAATTAAAATATTATTTTCATTCATTGTGAGTTGTATTTCTACTTAGATCTTTTCATTTGCAATAACTTCTATATAACATTAGTTGTTATTTAGCCTTTGACTTATGAGATTTTGTCAATGATTTATGCAAAGAGGGGCAAATTTTAAGTATATGTAAATTCAAAATGACAGACAAATGGTTAAGATGTAAAGTGTATGTTATTTACTTTGTCAAATTTTGTCGTTTACAAGGTAGGTAAAAGATCCTAAAATAATGAAGCCCTAAAACTTGAACCATAAAATAATCCTTAAATCTAAACTAGGCTCATAAAAAATTAAATAGGAATAATAAATAAATCAAACAATTTTCAAACATGAAAAACCCTAAACAAATTAAACAAGAACCCTAAACATGAAAAACCCTAAAAATATTCACAAATCAAACAGCAATAATAAACAACCCAAATAAAAAACAATGCAAAATTATTAAAAATCATAAATAGACAAGCAAAAAAAACTAACCATAAACAATGTTACTATCGTTCTCTCTCAACCTCCAACTCATTGAAACCCCAAACCACGCGACCTTCTTTGGTTGATCCTCTTGTTGACAAGTGATCCTTTTTAGTCGATCCTCTCTCACAAGGTAAGCAGAATCTTTACACTTACAGGATCCTATCATTCTTGCATTCGTATCTCTTTCACACTATTACACAGACTCTTCTCTCTTTTATAGTAAAACTTACTATTTTTTTTAGTCTTTTTTGTTTTAATTTGGTCTAAGTTTCATTTTTTAGTCTTTTGTCTTTTTTGGTTTATGATTTGTTTAAAAATCATAAAAACTTCCACATAATCTATTCAAATAACAAAAAATTTTCACATAATAAAAGTTTGAAAAATTATGTCATGCCATATAGGTTTTGTTGTCAATTTAGACGGTTCAACAAATGAATGGATCATATTAACAAACGTTTGAGCAATTAAAGATTCAATTAAAACTTTTTAAAATTTAGGCACAAATATAAAATCTGTCTTAAAGTTTAGGAACTGTGCATGCTATTAACTCAATAAAAAATTAATTTATATTAAGAGTTTATTTAACAATAAATTAAATGTTAATGCCTTATTTGGATATAAATTAAAAATTAAAAATTTATTTAAGTGCAAATTAAAGTTTGAGAGGTTATTTGAGTGTAATAAAAGTATAAAAATTTATTTAAAATAAGATGATAAAATTTGAAAGCGTTTTTGTTATTTTAGCAAAAAAAAAAAAAGTAACAATACGACTCAAGTATAAGATATTATCTATATTTTACTCTATTTTTATTTATTCAATTGAATATATATGAACGTTTGGTCCAATCATATATAAATGCATTTTTTAATTTCAAAAGTAAGTTCAATTATTCAAAAAAAATTTCAAAATTCCCTTTCTTGTAATAAGAAAAAAGTTTAACTCCCAACGTCAAATTTATTTATTTTTATACAAGTCAACATTACATATATTCGTTTAATCTTTGACAGCAATTGATCTTTAGTTTAAATTACTATCATCTTTTTATAGTTTTAACAAGAGAAATAGTAACAAATACCAAAATTTAAACTTAAATATTATTTTTTATAAATAATAATATAAATTTATGAAATTAAACTCCTAATTCACCGCAATCATCCTTTGTTAGTAGCTTAGTACTAATTTCAAATGCATGGTCCCTTGGACACGTCTAGTTCTCAAGGGAACACCGCATCCATTGACTCTTGAAATTACCAATTTCAATTTTGATACGAATAAAATAAGATATATGAGATGGGAAAGAATATTTTTTGTTGTGTACCAAAACATCACATGTAAAAAAAAAAAAATCTAAAAAGTACAACTCTTGTCTAAAGTAGAGATAAGATATTATTCACAACATCTATATTAATTTAAACTAATGCCAAACCCAAAATTATTTATATTTTTTATTGAATTGATGTCACATCCAACCAAATGATACCAACTTAATTAAAAATTAGTTAAAAAAAAAAAAACTCATCAAGTACAATAAATTGTAAAGGGCAAATTATACCAATGTTATTTGTACCTTATTAAAATTTAAAAATTATTTTTTTATTATAATTTATATAAATATAATCATGATATTATTATTTTTTTGATAATTTTAATATAATAATTAATTTCGTCAAAATTTTATTATTAAAAATATTGATATAATCATTGACTTATTGATATAATCATTGACATTATTTGCTAATAGTTATTATATTTTTTTAAAATTTAAAATTTAATCAATATATTATAATTTGTACAAATATAATATTTATATTATTTTTATTTAATAATTTTAGTTAAATTATTAACTCCATCTAACTTTTTTTAATAAAAATACTAATGTAACAATTAACTTTGCTTATATGACATTTTGATTAATGAATATTTAAATGGATACTAATGTAGATTAAATAACATGCCACGTCATTTGACTTTTAGTCCACGTCAAATTTAAACTTTTAAAGCTATAATAATCAAGTTTTATTTTATTAATCATTAATAACAAGAAATAAAAAAGGAAAAACAACTTTAAAAAAAAAAAAAAAAAAGAACACCCAAATCCAAATCACTAGAACTTAGTTCCCAAATCCAAAATCCTTCTCACTCGCACAGTCTTATTCTTAAATTGTTTTAAACTTCACAACAACTTAGAATCAATTTCAAAATAACAAAATATACATTTAATTCATATAGACCTGCTAATTGCTGCAGCCAAAGAAACGTCTTTTAAGATTCTCCAAACTAGTTGAGATTCTCGTCACTTGTTGAGGTGACTAAAAAAGCCTTCAATACCTTAAACACATAGCAATGGCTTCTCATCACTTTCAAGATTTCGAACAGCTCCCTTTTCCTACTTGAGTAAAGCTAAGTTGTCTAAATAGCTCTCTTTCCTTCGCTAGTGGTGATTTCAGGGAAAAATCGGACACCTTAAACACCTACGATTAAGGCTGAGAGGTAGGGATTTTGGATTAAGGGACTGACTGTTAGTGATTTAGGATTTAGCTTTTTTTTTTTTTTTTACTTTCATAATTGTTTTTTTTTTCAAAGCAAAGTTTATAAATATTTTAATTGCTTTCTTATTGTACTCTCTCTAAAGTTTAACAATCATGAAATCTAAATTTTTTTTCTTCAATTTTTTAGTTTTTATCTTAATATTTATATAAAAAATACTCATTTAAATATAAAATATCATATGATTAGATTAAGTGTTTATAAAAATCATGATAAATTAATTATATTATTTCTTATGCTTTTAAATTTATTTATTTGGTTTTTGAAGATATTACATTTTTTTTGTCAATTATTATTAAATTGAAAAAAAAAAAGGTTGTGTGAGATTTGACCTTTTATTCCCGAGTAAAATCGACTTGACTTATTGCAGAAAAAATTCAAAATTTTATGCTTCGTCCCGAGTAATTTGGATTTTGATTAGTCCTGTTAGATCATTTACCTAATTGGATTTTAAAGGTAGGCTGGACTTGAGGCTTCAATTTTTGCTCTTACAGAAAATTGGATGCCATTTTCCTCTTACAACAATTCTACATAGATTCTGCATTATTCACTTACAGATGTTTGTGAATAACTCAAACTGCATTATTGCAATATCACACACGTGGGAAACAAATAAAAATAAAAATAAAAGAATATTACTCAATTACCTGGATTCAATGCCATATGTTTCAGAGCCCCTAAGGAAAGACCTGCGCCACCAAATCTGGAAGGCCTTGCTGAGATTAGGGCATTCAGTGCCATGCTTGGAGAAACATCGGAACCACTCCATAAATAGAACATATTGTTGCTTCAATGGTAGTGTTAGGAGGGTCTGACCCATAGCTTCCTCCAATGCCTTCATGTCAAGCCCCTTTCTGCATCTCTGCAGCCAACCAAAGTCCAATAGCATTGGACCAAACCATGCTTGGTGAAGCCCTGACCTCGCCTCTGAGTGGCAGTGCAATTTTCGTGTACCCATTGCAATGAACAAAATTGCTGAAACACGGCTTAGCTCATACCTAACCATAGGAGATGATCTCTCGTGCATTTTAAGCAGATCCCCTTGATGGGCCCACAGATCCACAAATTCCTCTGCCATCTGTCGATCAAGCAAGATCTCCAGCAGCCAATTGATGTTATCCACCTGTCTGGAGATGCGTTCAATTAGAGGCTTACCCATCTCCTTTTTGGCCATTCTTTCATGGGGTATAGCATCAGAGGCCTCCTCAAACAGGTTGACTAGCACATTAACACAAGATTGGCAAACAGCATAGAAATCCTCCTTGTTGACATCAGGTTGCTCCTTCTCATAGACTGAACTTTTGCAGAGGAGACCCTTGACCAGTGACTTCAGCTCATTTCTTGCATTGGCATCACAGCAGGTGGTGATGGATGAAACAAGACGTCTGGCTAAATTTTGGTGCGTGTCTGTTGATTGCTGAGAATATAGTCTAGCCAAGATATCTCTACTTGTTGCATCATCAAACTTGAACCTTGTAAACAGGCTCCTTAATTTTTCTTCTTCCTCCTCGGTCCAAGGAACAGCTTCTAGGTAATTTAAACAAGACAGAACACCTCTGCTAAACATAATGCTAGCTGATACCTAATTGCAATTTCAAATGATGTTGGTATTTTAAGATAAAAGAAAAAAAAAAGTAATATCTAACAGAGGAGGCTCAAAGTTCTCATTGCAGCAATCAAGCAAAGTGAAATTAGTTTATACCACAGAAAGAATAATGATTTTGTAAAGATGGTTTCACATCTTTCACCATCTATCTTGCCTCGGTTTTAGAGGCAACTTTTTATTCTCCACAATTATGTCTCTTGGAAGAAAAATCCACTAAAGCCAACATTTTTCAAGTTTCCATTTGCAAATCATTACCATACAAATGTTCAATCCAATGGAATGAACTAAATGTAATAAGGGTGCGATAGTGAAGTTGTCTCCACAGGGCATTTACAATTATCAAGATGGATATATATGAATAAGCAATCTAGAAAGGGGAAAGAACCCAAAATTAAACGGTCACTATATTCTTTTATTTTAGACAATTTGAGTAGCCAATCTAACCATTCAGTATATCTTATGAACTGTAAACCATCTAGATCCATATCCAATCTTTTCACTCTATTCTGAGGATGATTCAAATACTTAATGGACTCTGAACCCAATTTAGTATCATGGCCAACCATTTTACCAAGCTGACTGACCTAGAATAGCCCACTTAGTTACCAACCAAACTAAGATAACCAAAGGTTACTCCATATTTCTTGCCGGTTATTATTGATAAGCCTGATTGACTTACCAACCATTTGAAAACTAAGCTAAATGTAGGCCAAGTCCATAGCATACAGATGATGATAATAGAAAGATTAAATAAAAAACCACCAAATCCTAACAGAATAAACCTATTTAGATAAAAACAAAATAACACGTTCTTAGGAACATATTTCTCATAGGTATCTATGGGGTGCAGGTTCCTTTGTTAACACCAAGTAGGTGACAGCACCACTTTTCCTTCCCATTTTTTACTGATTTATTACAACTTGGGATCTACAGGCTACAGCTACCTAAAGCCCAATTATTTACCACCCAAACTAAGATAACCAAAGGTTTTTTAGTCCATATTTCTTGATGAATATTATGATAAGCCTGATAGATTTATCAACCATTTGAATGCAGGCCAAGTCCATAGTATAATGATGATGGTAATGGAAAGATTAAATACAAATTAACAGAATAAACCTATTTAGATAAAATTTATTCAGCTGCTAAATCTATTACCATCATGGCACCAGCATGCATTCAATTCCCAAATTGCGAGCAAAGCCTTTTGACTTTCTCATGAAAAAGTAGTCATTAACTAAGTCACATTTTTAGCATGCATCCTAAATACCTACGAGATCTAATTTTATTCTTAAAAAATGTGTGATATGTAAAGTATAAATAATATTATTAGGAACTGGCACTTAGAAAAAGAGTCAAAATGCAGCAAAAATGTAAAAGGGGATCAGGAAATCAGATAACATGCGAAATAAATTAAAAATATTAATTCTGAATTTTCCAACTAAAAGATACAAAAGAAAAACTCGAAACATTCAAGCGTGAACTTATACTATTTGGTGACTTTACAGGACAAAGATAAGGAATAACTTGTTTGGCTTAATTTGCCAAAGTGATTATTGGTGGGCTAAGGTTAAAAAAAAAAATTAAGGTTTTGGTCATAGAGTTATGCAAGAAAAAGCAATTAATCATTTTACATGAAATAAAACTTGAATTGCTGGCAGTTACAATTATAGAGAAAAATATCTTCTGGAACTCAAGAACAGCAACCAATTCAATAGGCTTTGGGGTTTGTTTTGTAGGGAAAATTGAAATTTCTAGAATGATCTTTGACAATTATGATCAGTGATTATGGTTTCATGGTTTGGAAAAGGAGGAATGCAAAGACATCTAGAGAAAATTGCAGCAAGGAAGAATAGACCATATAGTAAAAGTAACAGGAATTGGAGATAAGAAGCACAACTCATAAAATAAAAATTAATTTGCTGAAATAAAAATTACATGACAATGAGGTAGGAGGAAAAAGTTTGTTTTCATCTTGTCACCTAAAGGCCTTTAAAAAACCTTTGCATGTATCATTGATAAACCTCCATGAGAAGAAGCATTCTATATTTTCCACTGGATTATATTTCAGTAAAGAGAAATAATTCCTTGTTAGCATATTTACACTTTTGAGGACGGAAATTATTAGCAATGCTATCAATGTTTACTATATTCTAGAGCTTTATGTAAAAATTAGGTATCAAGAATTACTTTTTTGATGGTCCTTGTAAAATATATCTTTCATAAAGTTACTTTGCCAATTTATGCTCTTTAACTTACAAATTCTCTTGAAATCAGTAAAGTAGAATGCTGTAACATTTTGCTCATTATAATCCTACTCAAACACTTGTGATATATCTTCTGCACTGGCTGATATCTATGTTAGTTAATAGCTAAGGCTATAGCAGACTGGGCAGTAGGAACCAATTTGAGACAAAAAAAAGGAATAGAAAAAACTTGATAATAATAACAAAGTTCTCTTAAATGAGCTTCAGAATCTCCAAAATTTTGAGAAAGCCCCTAGAATAAATTTTCTTGATCAAGATGTAAATGCAGAGACAACAACTTTTTATTCGCTTTCTGTTTAAAAGTCCATGATTTGTCAAACTAGAACATGAAACAATGCTCAAAATATGCTTTGAAATCTGACAGGACGTTCAACCAAGAATAAAACTAAGAACTTCCAAGTCATTGGCTTCGCACAGCAAATATCTTTTCGGACAAGTAATATTTCATCATCCAAAGAAGCAGGGGAAATCTGCTATCCAAAAACAATACAAAAGGTACTATAGAGAGTTCCTATACAATCCTCCAATTATGATATATGGATCTAATAGAGGGGTTTGCAAATATCATATCAAAATGATTTTCTACATGATAAAGAATCACAGTTCCATATTTTTCTATCCCCTCAACATGATCAAACTTGAAAATTTAAATATTATGGAAAAAAATGACAAAGAGTTCACTTGTTTGATTTCAACAAGCACTCATGATTTTCCAAGGGGAGGTCACTTGTTTGAAAATATTGGTCTTTTTTAGGAACATAATTTTTCCTAAGATTCTTATTTTCTTAAAACAATGATCTTTTTTTGGTACATGTTTTTCTTAAAACAAGTATCAACAGTTCAACACATACTAATTATTCCAAAGAAAGAAGATAAAAATAAAAGTACCAAAAATTTAAGTTTTAGATAAAATTCTTGAAAAAAAAATTAAAAGAAAATAAAAGAAGGCTTACCTCAAGTATATCAATAGCTCTATAAACGCCAAATTTGACAAGCGTCTTGGCTATATCTTCTTCAAACATAAGCTCAATCGTTTCTCTAAAAACCCCTAAATTTTCCACCTCAGGAACCTCTATTCTACACATTTTGCTACCCAAAGAACCCGCAACCAAACCCGCAAAAACATCCGAATTCGAAGCCAAAACCCGTGAATTCAGCTCCAACACCAAAACCCCACCATTTTTCCCTTTCAGATTCAGTCTCACATCGTACCCTCCTCCTCCCCCTCCTTGGACCCGACCTGGATCCAGACCCCAATGACCATCCGGGCTTTCTATTTTGGCCCTAAAACTCTGCGATCGTGACCTGGGTAGGGAATCAACGGCGGAAGCGGCGGATGGTATGGCGTGCCAAGAGTGGTGATCTTCTTCGAAGGAATCGGTGTGGTCTATAGGGGAGACTCGTCCGGGTGAAAGGATTCGCCGCGGGTCTAGCCGACCCATGACAGTTAACCCGGATTTGGAACTCTGGGGTGAGTTGGGGACAGAGTTGGAGGTTTTGAGTTTGGAGAGTGAGTCGGCCTTTTGTGGACCGAGTTTGGTTTTGCAGTTGCTGTTATTGTTACGGTAATGCCGAGACAAATGAGGGTTTTCAGGACTCGACGGAGGTACAGTGAACGTGCAACACCACGATCGGCGGCGAGAGCCGTGTCTCCGACGAGTGAGATCATCCATATTGGAAAGACTTGAGTTACGAACTGAGTCGATTTAGGAGAATAACGAGTCAGGAGTGGAGTTGAGACTGAAGACAGCAGCACAGAGCAAACATATTCTCTCTTATTTTTTCTTTTTCTGCTCTCTGTACAATGATTGAGAAAAAGAAACTAAAAAAGTGCCTTTGGTTTATACTTTATATCGGATTTTTTTTTTTTAATTTCTTCTTAGGAATGATGAATTGATTTTTTTTCCGAGTAAATCACACATTAATCATCCAACTCCAACTCTAACTGAGTTTTATTTGGTTGACTCAGGAAAAGTTCCTGTTTGATATTATCATTTTTAATTTTTTAATTAACGCTAGACACTAATGCTAACGTGAAATTCTCATGTCATCATCAAATATCACATCATTTGATATATTAAATGAAGTATTGTAAATGTGGTATAACAGATTTTAAAAGTTCAAATAAAAATAAATTTTTTTTAATTTTAAAAATTTTTATTTTAATAACTTATCTTTAAAAATGTTATTCTTTAATCATCAATATTTATGAAATTACTAATATTTTGATATTCATAATTAATGTCTCCCTATTAGTTTTTTTTTTATATTTTTATAATAATAAAAAATAGAAAAAAACATTTTAATCGAATTATAAATTTTTAGATAATTTTTTAAAAATTATCTGTGTATCATCAAGTTGTGTAAAATTTCAAAGTAGAAACTAATGATTTTCTTAAACTTGCTCAAATATTTGCCAAAAAAAAAGTATTGTTATTTTCAATAAAAATAATATAAATAGAAAATTAATAAAATATATAAATTTGTATCCAAATCAATAAAAAAGAATAGAAGAAGTGAAAAATCTGAAAATTGTGAGTAATTGACACAAACGACAAAAGTTAGTGGTCAAGATCCTTAGGTCATTTGGTGGTTGTCTTTTTATTTGGCCTATGAGAATTATTAAAGTAAATACCACTATTTAAGACAAAGTACATGGTACTTACCTTTTTGTTTTGTACATTATAAAGGCAAAGCAAATGTTGCACTCTTTAATTATTTTCCATCCATATCATTAATGAATCATTTATACAATATATATATATGAAAAATTATTGTATCATTTATCAAAATTAGTAAGGTAATACATAATCCTTAAAATATAATTAAAAATATGACATATAATTTTTTAAATATAATTATAATTAAAAATACATAATCCTTAAATATAATATAAAGTTAAAATATAATTAAAAATATGAAATATAATAATTTTTTAATTTTACTTGTAAAATTAAAAAATATATATACTATATATATAATTGAGATTTGAATAATAAATATATGCTTACATTTTAATAAATATTTATTTTTTAGAAATTAAAAAAAAAACCTTGAAAGGAAATGACACAAATAAGGATTGAATTTTTTAATAAATTAATATTAAAAACTAAAATTTTAAAGCTATTTTATTAATTTTTAATGTTTTCATATTTCATTAATTAATTATTTAAAAATAAATATAGATTTTTTTTTTAATTTTGTAGTTTCTAATCACTGAATTCTATGTAAAATGATAGGGAAATGAAAAGTCATAAAATATATATTAATATATTAATTTTAATATTATTATATTTTATTAATTAATGATTTAAAAATTATTTTGAGAACAAAAAGGAATATCAATCAATTTCATTTAAATTTTTTTTTCATATTCTACCAACCATTAAATTTAACTAAAACTAGTTACGGATGTACTATTTATTTTATTAGTGTATGCATTAGTAAAATAAACTAATACATTATATTAGAAATTTTAATAATCGTTTCATTCTATAAAATTTCGAAAAAGAAATTTAAAAATGTTTCTGTAATTTTAGCCTTAATATATATACTTGATTCTTAATTAGACAAGTAACTATAAAGGCAAAACACACGTCTATAAATCCATAAATATTAAATTGTTCATGCAAAGTTTATGTAGAAAATAATATTTTCTCTGTTCAATTTTCTTTGCTCATCTTTCTTTTTTGGTATATTTCAAATTTATGTCCTAATTTTTCTAAAACTCTTAATTTTTTATATTTTAAAATTATAATTTTTTTATTTTTTTTACTTTTTGATATTAAAAATCATAGAACTTTAATTTTATTAAAAAAATTAATTTTAATATTAAATGCATTAAAGTTATGATAATTTTTTTCATATATACTATAGGTTTTTTGTGGAACTTTCTTCTAGAAATAAGTCTTGTAGAATGTGGAGATTTCTAGTCATGTTAGATTTTCTTTTGTTTTTGAAATAGAGAGATTTCGTTGTGCATTTTTTTTGGTGCTCTGATGATGGGAGTAAAAATAATGAGCTTTCAACTCTTTCTATCGAATTTGTTTATGAATGATTGTCATGTCTTTTAGCTAATCCAATAAATTTGAAATTTTTTGTGGTTTCAATGGGTCTTCTGAGTCAGATACTTTATAAGATAACACATTTTTTATGATTCTTTTTTATGTTAGACCAATGTGAACAACCTGTTTGACAAGTGTATGGAATATCATTTTATTAAGCTCTCTTGCCATTGTGAATTCTTTTATGGTTAACTTGATAAACTTTTCAGTTGGTTTTGCAAAAGCCATAATCTCCATGTTGCCATTACAATCTTCTATCAACATGTTCAACCCAATTCTATTTTATAAGACCAAATAATAATTCTTTTTTTATTGTTTTAAAAAATAAGTTGATGTAAATGTAATAAAAAAATGGATCTTACATAAGTATTGATGTCGTTTCTCATGTTTTGGGCAACAAAATGTACTAGCATACATAAAAAATGATTTCAAATATCAATTGCATATAGCATAAAATTGTCTAGTGGATGGATCAACGTCAATTATTGTAACTTCTTTGATTTTTTAGGGTATGAATAGGATATGAAGTATGCCCTTGGTTGTTTTATGTTATTGAGTCTTCAAAGCCTATTAAAAGTATCGTGACTAACCTTGTCTACAATGATAGATACATTATGTAGAACAAATCTATTAGAATTCAATCCTATTTCATTTTGACTTGTTCTCATGAGTTATATTTTAATAGTTTAAGATGTTGATAGATCACACACAGTTAAGGTATAGTACAAAATCAAATGAACAATAAGCTTAATGTAGAAACAACAAAGTTTTCTTTGAAATAGATCTTAACAAAGCTTATGTCAAAATAAAATAATTACAATCGTTCTATTCTAAGGTAAAGAAAACAATTTAAAATCCTTTTGTTTATGCAAAAGAAAATTAGTTTTTTGTTTACCTAAATGGCTTGAGAAGTGAGGCAATTTTCGAATATTAATGGTTAGTGAAATATTAATGGTTGTAAGCGACATGTTTAAATGCTTAGTAATTATTGTCTATTTTTTTATTTTTTAAAAAAATAACATATTTAACATTTATTTTTCATAACTGGTTAAATGCATAATTGTATAACAAAAAATACAAGATTTGATAATGGAAGTATTTTTAAAATTTCATTATATACAAGCAAATTCAAAGACCTAAAGAAACATAGGGGTTTATAGAAAACATAGCAACAACATAAGAAGAATATATGACATGAGACAATCTTTTATAATTACTCAGAAATAGATTTGTATAATAAATTAGAAAAGATCAATTGAATAACATCATGAACAGCTAGTAAAATATTGTACAAAACCATAAGAATCTGAAACAAGAGCCTTACCAGTGGAAAGAATGGAAAGATTGCAAAAGAAAATGATGAAAGGTATGTAAATTTAACTTTTAAATGACATAAAGCTTAAATGTGGTAAACGAGAAATTACAAATAAAGCAATAAATTCCACTTCTAAATAATGAATTTGGACAAAAAATGAAAAGTGTTTATTAGTTAAGTAGAAATTAATGAAAAGATGGCTATTCATTTTCAAGAGTTACACATATCAAATTGATTATGCTCGGAGAAACTCACCAGTAGAGTTGGCAACGGGGTGAAATAAATTGATTTTTTGTTTTTCCCACCTCTGACTCAAAGCTTTAATAGTTTTACCTTATACCCAACCTAGTCCCGCTCAAAGGTTTTAATTGAAAAACCTAATCCCGACTCGTTAAGAATATTATTTCCCCAAATCCAACCTAAATTAACCCGGTTCGAATTTAATTTATTACCAATTTAAATTTACTGAAAACTTAACAAATCATAGTCTAAATATATTACAAGCATTAACAAATTAAATTAAATTAAATCACTCACAAATTCAAACTTAGTGCATAAAACTTTTTTATCTAGTAAAATCTCACAAATTTTTACCATAAATAATAGAATTGTAAAATATATAGGGGTTAGCAGATATTGTTTTAAATCGATTTAACCGATCGAAACCGATAAAATATGGTCATTTCAGTTCGGTTTAATTGTTTTCAGTTATAGTCAATTTTGGAATCGGTTAAATTGGTTAAATTGATCAATTATCAATTTTAAAATTGATAACTGAATTAATCGATCTTATAATAATTAAAGGGCCCTTTAATAATCTATACAAAAAATTTTATTAAGTATATGAAGGATTATTGAATGTGTTTTTGGCTAAAAACGCCTTTAGTAATTCCTCATAAAAATTTTTTAGAGGATTATTGAAGGCATTTTTGGTAAAAAAACGTCTTTAATAATCCATACAAAATTTTTTTTGAGAGATTATTGAAGGTGTATATAGCAAAAAATACCTTTAATAATCCATACAAAATTTTTTTAGAGGGATTTTTGAAGGTATTTTTTACAAAAAATACCTTCAATAATACATATAAAAAATTGTATTGAAGAGATTATTGAAAATATTTTTTGTCAAAAATGCCTTCAATAGCCCTTGATAAATTTTTTGAGTTTGAAGGAATTATTGAAGGTGTTTGTGACAAAAAATACTTTCAATAATCCTCAATAAATTTGTATGAGGGATTATTTAAGGCGTATTTGATCAAAAATACTTTCAATAATTTTTTGTATAGGTTATTAAAGGTGTTTTTGGTTAAAAACACCTTTAATAATCTCTCATAAAAATTTATTAAGGGGACTATTAAAGGCATATATGACCAAAAACGTTTTCAATAATCCTTACAAAAAATTTTGAGAGAGATTATTGAAGGTATTTTTAGCAAAAAATGCCTTCAATAATTGAATCCCTCATAAAATTTTTTGTATAGATTATTTACTGAAGGATTTTTTATATGTGGCTAAAAACGCTTTCAATAATCCATACAAAAATTTTTGAAAAGGATTATTGAATGTGTTTTTGGCAAAAAAATACTTTCAATATGCCAAAAACACCTTTAATAATCAAATCTCTTCTAAAATTTTTTGTATGGATTATTTATTGAAGGAGTTTTTAGCAAAAAATGCATTTACTAATCCCTTATAAATTTTGTTGAGGGAATAAACGCCCTTTAAAAGGTAAATATGTATATTCTTTGACAACTAATTAAGGTTTTGATCTCTTTAACATATTAGAAAATAATAAAGAATGTGCATCAAAGCTATGGGGTTTATGTACGAAGAATGCTGTTAGAACTTGAAATATCCTTTAATTAGTTTGTTTTATGTTTTTTATGAATTTTTATATTCATTTGCCAACTTAGAGTGTCTTAGTTTGAAAGTTCGAAGAGATCATGAATGAGGCAAAAAGAAATGAAAAACTTAAAAAAAAAATTACATATATATATCAAAGATATTTTGGTAAATATCTTAGGTTGGGTTGGGTTTCATATAAACCGACCTTGACCCGAATCCACCACTCAAAAAAATAAAACCAAACCAAATCGACCCGAACCGAAACCCTTTTTTTAAAAAAAAATCCAACCCTAGATGATTAGGTCAGGTTGGAACCTGATGATTTTGGGTTGATTTACCATCTCTACTCACCAGTAATATCTGCGATTATTAGGAATAATGACTAATCTGTAATCCATGAAACTCTAAAGATTTGAAAAATAAAACATTGTTAAAGAATTATCAATAATAATAAATATTTTGTCCAAAAAAATAAAACATTTTTACTTGAAAATTATAATCACGTTTTACAAAATCTGTATTGAGCCATAACATTCAAACTGTCAAGAGAAATGAAAAAGAATAAAAAAATCTATAATCAGAGGCTTAAATTCCTATTGGACACTGAGTAATCAGAATAGCGATTTCAAACCTCATAACAATCAATATTGTCATCGGAATTGAATGGATGTTGTCGATTACCCTTAGCTTAGAATTTTTTTTACTTCAAAATGACAAAGGAAAAACCTCGATTTCATTAAATAAAATCCTTTAGAAATCCTTTTCAAAAGGAAGGAGGTATGGAAATGGTTTTTCGTTTTCATTTTTTAACAAAAATGCCAACATAATGCTTTAATTTCATAAACAAAGAATTGGGTTTTGTTTGATCCAATTGTAATATCCAAACCTGGGATCATTAAATAATGTTTGACTAAGGACAAATTGAAGACACATGGCACAAAATTTTCAAATGGCTAACTTCACCTCTCGGATTTGTAAGAAAAACAAAAAGTCATAACATGTTATTATATTATTTAATTATCTTTTAAAATATAAAACTCCGATAGATTTTTTATTATTATTTATTTTTTTATATTATACTAGCTTTAATCTCTCGTGCAATGTACGAAAAAAATAAATATAAATAAACTTGTAATATATGAAGATACTTTAAAATAAGATTTGTTAAAAAAAATTGTAAAAAACTGTCAACTAACGAAAGATTATTTTTTATAGTTAGAAAAAAAAATAAATAAATATGCATATAGGAAAGTAATACTATTTCAAAAATTCTATTAAATTTAAATAAATATTTGCAAATGATATTTTAATAAATATTTTTGGCATCTAAGATATGGTTATGGTTTTTTTTTTTTAATTGAAACTACAAATACATGTTATAATAATAATAATCAAATATTACATCAATATAACGTGAGAGACAAAACTTAATTGAAATTTTTTAAGTGAAATTTGTGAAATTTTTTCATAAAAATAGTTTAATAAAAATTTTAATAAAAATCCAAATCTATTTATTGATAGAATTTAATATGAAAATCAATAATATGTAAAATATTATTAAAATTATTATTTATAATTTAAATTTGTTATATATTTATTTAATGGTAAAAAAATTTATCAATATTTTTACTAAAATGTTTAATTAAAAAATATATCAAAATATATTAAAATTTTTTCATATTTGATTTATGTAATAAAAATTTTCAATTTATTAATTTATTAATTTTTCAATTTAATTTTAATTTTTATTTAAAAAAATTATTGGATACATTGATAATAAAATTTTTTAACTCTAAAAATGAAATTACAATAATGACATGTCTTATTTTTTAAATTAATTTTTTATTATTTTAAATATACACTAAAAAACATACGTTATCATCTTTATTTTATATGTAAAATTAAAAAATTTTATTATTAATATATTAAATAATTATTTTATTTAATTATTTTTAAAAGAACTTGCGAATTTAACTTAAAAAACTTGTTCTTTCTATAAAACTGGATATAAAATCTCAAAATTTTAAAGCCTTCTCCTCACCGTTAATCCAGAATCTCATGGCAGATATGCTCATAATTAAATATCAAGAATTTCACGAACTGTGACATGTTCCCTGTAATTATCTTTCCTCACATTAATTACCAGAATTCCCCTCGCAATTCCTACTTTCATCTCATGTCCTTTAACAAAAAACAGTCACTCAAAATGTTGCTCACGTGCAAAATATTCCATGCTCCTCACCCCCTCTTCAAACACGTCAACTGAACAAAATCCCCATCCGATCCATCCACGTATTCCCCTTCAGTCAATCCAACCTCGACACCCAACGTCACCTCAAGGACTCGTGGCTGTCTGTCATTGGTTCAAGAGCCAAACAACAATACGTAATTAACCGAACAAACGGAACCGACCGAGACAAGTCGCAATTGGAAAAATCTAATCTAATGTGTGACCATGAGTTTCTTCATCAACAGCCACGTGTCACGCAAGCCATGCAAAGGTTGCCACGTTAGATTACGTAGTGCAGTTAACCAAAATCCCACGCCTGTATTTAAAGGATTAGTCCCAATATACTTCGTCTTAATTCCCCAACAAAATCTTGCATGATCTGTCCCACCTTCAGACAGCCAACCTTTCAAAATTTAAGGAAAGTTGTGTCCTTGTTTTGGGCTTTGGTTTTGAGGTTGTTTCTCTCTCTGTCTTTGATCATTAATGGAAGGGAAATCGGCCTTAGGGATTGATAGAAAATCTTCGATAGAAAGCGAGCCGAGGACTTTGACCATTGATCAAATTCAATGTGCAAGAGTAAGGTTTTTTTTTTTTTTTTAATTATTATTATTATTATTATTTTTAATGAGTTTTGGATATTAATTATAATTGCTGGGTTTTGCTGAGAAATTGTTTGCAGGAGGCAGCGATGTATGTGGTGAGTACGAGAAGCATAGAAGAAGCCATGAGTATTTTCACAGAGGTAATTATCAATTAGTATCATTGGTTTCTTTTTTTTTTATGGTGATATATATATATGAATGTATATTTAGAATAGTAAATTGATAATTAAAATGGGTGAGGACAGGGATTAAAGCCTGTAGTTAGCGTGGCAGCAAGAGATAACATGATGGATCTCAAACAAATAGAGTGTTTACAAGATTTACAAGAACAACTACAAGGCATACGGGACGTCGTTTCTGCACCTTTTTAGTCATATTTTTCATTATTTATTTTCATTATTTCAACTTTTTTTTTTATTTACTGTAACTTGGGTTCAGTTACTGTACAGGATGGAATTTTGACTAATTTCCATCATAATCATTTCATTTTTCTCTAAAATTATATTTCAGTTTTTTTTTTTTTTCATGTGAACTTCAGTTATGCCCCGCTTCACTTGTCCTTTTTTTTTAAAAAAATTTATACAAATACAATAATATAATATTTAATTAAAGAATTATTTTAAATAAATAATATACAATAAAAATATTTATTGTAAGGAATTGACCTTTTAAAAATCCTTTAAGGTAATAATGAACATAATTTGAAACAATTCATAACAAAAGTTCGATATTCTATTTGAAAAAAATATCTTCTTTAATTTTTATGTCAATTAATATTTATTTATTTATTTTTATTATAATTATAAGAGTATTATTTAATCAATTGTATCATATCTTTCAATTTTTTATCATTCCAAAATATTAAAAAAAATTTGCCGTAATATGCTGAGTTTTTTTTTGGATAAATAATACTTGTTATATAAAACAAAAAATAAATTAGATTGACTTGCCGCATTAGTATTAATGGCATAAGTTTAGAAATGATTTTCAGACTATGAAAAAAAATTGATTTTATAAGTATGTTATTTAATTAATGAAATAAAAAAAAAAAACTAAGATTTTGAAACGAACTTGATAGCTAGAAAAGCTAGATTTAAAGTTCTAATAAGGGTATCCGAATGTTTTTAGAAAAATTTTGGATATTACATTTTTGTTTGAAGTGAGCGTATAATCTTATTTGGGCATTCAAATATCCTATTTAAGGCATTTGAATGCTAAATTTTATTTGATGAGAAATTTAATGCCTTAACATAGACATTTGAATGCTAACTTTCTGTTTGTAGTCTGGAAGCAAGAATAAGAAAGGATATTTAAATACCCATATAAAGTATTCGAATTTTTAGTATGAAAGTCATGATTTTTCAAAAAATTAAAAGATTTCCTATGGATTAGAACATGATCTTTCACATAAATAATTACCTCGGTAATTATTCGAAAAGGTAAAAAATATTTGTCGATTAAAACAATTTAATTAAAGAGTTGATTTCTTCTAGTCTTGTACACATTTATTTTTCAAAAGTTTAAAATTAGTTGGTTTAGTATATGATGCATGATATCCTGTTCAAAAGATTAAAGTTCAAATCTTCCTTCCTAAAAAAATTATAAATCTCATATTGTAATTCATGTTATTCATATAAAAAGATTGAATAAAAAATAACTTCAAGTAAATAATTACTTCTTTAAAGATAGAATAAGCAGTACAAAAATTTTTAAACAATTAAAAGCTAAATAGGAAATATGAAATAGATGAAGGAAAAAAAAAAGGAAAATTACATGTACAATTAATTTTGTATGCCAAATATGGCAACTAATGCTTTTTTTTTAATTAATGTAGTTTTTTTTTGTGTCTTGATGTAATAATTAGTATTAACATATTTCCTCGATTTAGTAATAATTAGTATTCACCTACACGTTCAGGTTCCTGAGAAGGAGCCTCGCTAACACTAACCCTGAGATCAGATTGTGAGGGTGAGGCAGTTGCCCTGCCCCAGCGATCAGGTTCTGAAGGTGGAGGTGGACCAGAGCCTTCAGCTCTGTCTCGCTTGAACCTAGGCATATATTTCCCAGGGGTCGGCGCAGCAGCTCCAGGTTCTGATGGGCGGGACCCAGCAGGAAGTTCAGAAGGCCTGGAGAGCCCCTCAGTTGATTTTCCCAAAAGAGCTTCTGTTCTCAGCCTTTCTTTTTCTTCCAATTCTTGTTCTCTCTGTCTCTGCTTTTCAGCAATCTCATCCAATTTTGCCTTGCATTCAGCTTCTTCTTTCCTTCGTCTCTCTACCTCTGCAAAGTTTCAAAATGGCAATAAATGAAGCAAAGTATGAAAAGATTTCTCTATAAGGAAAAGGCAATATGAAAACATAATCAATAGAAACACAGACACATAACTTCACGTTTACAGGCTTCTTCCTCTTCTTTTAGCTTTGACAGTCTCTCCTCTTCAGACCTAACATAGAATATTTTCTTTCTCTTGAGCTCCCTTTCCTACTTCCGAACCTGAATTATTTAATTGATTCTCTCCTCCTTCTCTTCTCTCCTTCGGTCAAACTCTGCTTGCCGATGACTCATCACTCTTTCCTGCAATATTATCTATGGTAAAACAACAAAATCAAATTAGTTTATGTCAGATAGCATGTGATCTCTGAAAGAGAAAATCTTACTACTAGCAATAAATCTCTGGCAAGCAAAGTTCCCTCAAGCACAAAGCTGAACACTAAATTGCCTCTAACCTTATTGTCCAGCATATATGCCAGCCTGTTCTTCTCTCTCAGATCCCCATCATGGCACTGTCTGCTCAGCTCAACTTTCAGCTGCAAGACATGAAAGGGAATTACAGTCACTATTGTAAAATGCAGAAGCAAGAAAACAAAAAACCAAGTTCCATAAAGACAGCAAAACCACTTCATAAACTGCACAAGCCAGAAAATGTAAAACAAAGGTAAAGCAGCAGTCCAAAGAGATAAGAAAAGAGAAATGGTCACTGTCATATTGAGAGAAGGTAAAATAAAGGGGAAGTTTTGAAACTTGTTATGTGTGTGTGTGTGTATAAATATATATATACACACACACACACAAGGGATGCAATAACAATAGGACAATTCAATAATTTACCTGTTGCTCACGTTCAAAAGCACTTTCTCTTCCACTACTCGTTGTTGGAAAGCAGCTTCAATCAAGGGAGCGGCCTCCCCTCTCTTTGCCCTTTCCTAGTAGTCCATTGTTTTATCAAGTTCTTGCAGTTTCTTCTCCATCTCCTGTCTCTCCTTAAGCTGCTCAGTCAAGGCCCTCTCCATCAAGACTTATTTTGTCAATTTCTCCTATACCCACATGCAATGTCAAAAAAAAAAAGATCATTCTAAATGAAAAAGAAATATAAATGAAACAAATGCAGACTCACTCCTTCTAAAATTGTTTTCTTCTTCCCGCCCTTTCTTATACGCTTCTGAGTTTCCTCTCGTATTGCCTGTGCTTCTTCAAGCTTCCGCTCCTCTATTTCCTGACAAATCTTTTCAGCTCTTCGTTGCTCAAACTCCGCTGCAAGCCTCTTCTGTTCTGCTTCGTCAGTTATCTTCTGCATTTTCAACCTCCTTGACTCCTCCTCTCGTTCCCAGAAGATCAAAATGAGGAGAAAAAGTTACAACAATATTTAAGTACATTAATTCAATCTAGAATTTTGATAACTAATAAATCCATACTTCCTAGTTCCTACCATTTCCAACAGTTGGCGTTCTTGTTCTTCCTTTCTTTTCTCAATGATTGATTTTCGAGTAAGAAGCCTTTTGTGTTCCTTATCTACAACCTCCCCCAAACCTGGAAAGATTTCAGCTAGTTTTGATGCTTTCTCAACAGGGGGTATATCATGGCTCTTGCATTATTCAAAGATTCAGCAAAATTAGTCAAGTGAACCCTGAGCCTATCAGATTCAAGACCCTGAAAAAGTAAAAAATGACGAGCAAAAGTGATTGAATTCTCTGTTGTGCTAATACCCATAAAAAAAAAAAAAAAAACTCTGCAACAAGTACATAAAAACATACAGAGAGAAATGCATAAAAAGCCTAAGATACTATCTTACCATATCACAAAAAACCACGATCCCCTTCATGTGATCGACTTTCATAGCAATAAAATTATGTTTCACAGCGTCAACAGAAATCTTTTCCACCATTGAAAAATCAAAAAAGGGAATGATCTGAGACAAACCCTCAATTTTCATTGTCTGATAAACTTGAGACTTGAAGTTGCCAAGGGGAAATTTTTAAAATAAAAAGAAAAACATAAATGACAAAAAGTGTATAGCACATGGAGAGAACAAAGAAAATAATAAAATAAAATGAAATTAAACAAACCGAACAAACACATGACTTCACCTGTTGAAGCAACCTCAGAGTAGCAAGTTTTTCAATGGCAGGAATGCATGGGGAGAGTTGAACTTCTGGTACAGATGAAGCAGAAGACAGCTTTCTGCCAAGTTTTGAGATTTTTGTCAACAAAGTTTCTATCTTTGATTCAATATCCAGAGAGAGAAATTCATGCTCTAAAGGATGATAAAGATCTCTCACTTCTTGAGTTGCACAACTAAGCACACCTTTGGAAACCTAATAAAAGAATGAGATTATCTTAACCTTCACACATCTTGAAAAATACATTAATTTGAATTAGCATAAAGCCGACACTACTTTTGCATCTAAATAGAATGGGAAAGAAAATAGGATTGAAGCACGCTAATGGTACATACTTGAAGGCTTCAAAATCCTTAGAGAAAAAATGTTTTACCCAAAGAAAAGCATGAAACAACTCAACTTTTAACTTACCAGTTCTGAGAGAAGCGATGACCTTGAAAGCTGGAAGATGTGCATAGTGTCAGAAAAAAATTGTAATATCAAAGTAACATGAAAGATAACATGGAAAAAATCTAATTCAATGCAACAACACATACCACTTCTCTATTCTCAACTTTAGAATCTAGATTAAATCCTATAAGATTTGCAATCTTTAGTTTACGCTCTTTCTCATTTTCAAGTTCCACGTGTGATGCTCCACGTGTTTGATCATAAGGGGCTATTGATAGTGCAACCAAAAAAACTGATGATGCTATCAATTGCAAATCCTTCTAGCTTAAGTTCTTATTGAAGTTGTTTTGAAGTGTAAAATGCTTAAACCATTCATAAGCATGATAGAGATGGCCAGCTGAAATCCAAAAGATTTCAGTCAGCTTGGCATAGTAAACAACCATCAATGAAGATTTAGGGGTTTTCTTAACCATGCACATCAATCCATGAATGTCTTCAACAGATCGAAAAGCTACCTGTAAGAAATATGACAAGCAATAACTGGAAGCATGTAAGATCTATCCATTAAAAGACAAACAGAAATGCATATCCACTATGATAAACAAAAATGGAGATTAAGAAATTCAGAGACCTGCCAGAGTTTGAGTTCTGTAGCTATCTTTAGTTGCTCAAATCTAGTATCAGGATACTATTGCAAGCTCTCTGGGGCAGAGAGGTCAGGTTTGTCCCTCTGATCTTTATA